TGCCTTAACCTATGCGTTAAGTGCCTCCTTAAGAGTAGCATACTTAGGGCTAATATAAATTAGAACCTTCCTAAGTTAGTATATAGTTATAAGTAGAATAAGGATATTATAATATTACTAGTTAATACTTTTTATTCTACTATATATAGTATGCATACTAGGATAAGATTCTTAAATTAAACTTCTATTTAATCTAATTGCCCTTTGCTAGGGCACGCATAGAATAAAGGCAGATAACCTAATAGGCTACTGCAAGAGCGCTAGGAGGGACTAGTATTAGTATAGTAACTAAGAAATAAGCCTAAGGAAGGATTAGTAGGGGCCTAAGTTAAAAGTAAGGACATTAACTTATAGTAGAAAGTAGTATCTATTAGAGAATGTTAGTATATAGGCGCAATTATTTATACCTTACTACTAGCTTAGGTGCTAAGCCTAGTTAGTTATACTAGGGACGCGAAATTACTATATAAACAGTATTATAGAGCTGCAAGCCCTCTAACTTAGCTAGGTATAGCCTTATTAGCTGCTGCTAAGCGCGCGCTATATATAAATATAGGGTTCTTTATTAATAATTATATAATATATAAATAATAACAAGGTATAAATAAAGAGATAGCAAGGCAGGGTAGAGCTAGCTTAGAACTAAGTTAGTGCAGGGATAAGTATAAGGCTAATTAACTATATTAGGGATAATATAACTATAAAAGAGAAAGGTAATATAAGAATTAACTACTAAAATCTTAAATCTTATAAATAAGATACTACTTAACTTAAATAACCTCTAACTCCCCTCTAACTTAGTCCTAACTTACCTCTATTGCTATTTCTTATCTATCTATAGCTAACTAAAACTTATAGGTATAAAAGGCAAGCCTATAGTAGTTCTAGGATAGATAGTTTTTAAGTATTCTAGGAATAAGATTCTCTCTAGTTATTAACTTTCCTAGTGCTCCTATATACCTTATAGTAGAATTAAAACTATATTAGAGGATCTTATTACCTGCATCGCTATAATTATAGCAGCTTAATAATATTATATATATATTATAGGAACGCTATATACTAAGCTAAGTACTAGATAACCTTTAAGAAGGAATTATATATAATTATTATAATAATCTATTATATAGTTATTCTAGAATTATAAGAACTATAGAACTTATTAGATAATATTATAAGTTCCTAAATATAAAAGATAAGGTTACTAAATATATTAGAGGATATATTAACTATTAGTAGAATAAATATAGTATATATGCTAAGTATAGAGAAATATAGGTAATAGAACTACTAACTATACTATAGATAAATATTATAATAGATTTTATTATATAACTACTAATCTCTAAGGACTCTATAATAGACTATAATTATAACTTAATATTTATAGTAGTAGATAGATTTATAAAAGCTGCTAAGTTTATGCCTTTTTAATATAGCTATACTATAGAGTAGCTTACTTAAGTATTTCTAGACAGAATTATTTAATACTATAGCATTCCTAAATTAATTATTAGCAATAGAGATAAGCTCTTTACTTTAAATTTCTAGATAATATTCCTAGTAGTAATAGGAATAAAGAAAAAGCTCTTAATAGCTTATTATCTATAGATAGATAGATAGATAGAATAAGTAAACTAGATAATAGAGATATATCTCTATATCTACTATAACTAGCAGTAGAATAACTAGGTTTTATTCTTGCCTATAGTATAAATTATATATAATAATAAGTTATTAGAGGTAATAGGCATAATACTATTCCTTATAAATTATAGAAGATATCTAAATCTCTTTATATAAAGTCTTAATAATGATATCTAAATAGAATTAGCAATATTCTTAGTATAGAAGCTAAAGAAAGTATATTAGAAATTACTTAAGAATATTACTAGAGCTTAGTTATAAGCAATCTCTTATATTAATAAGAAAAGAAAAATAGTACCTCTACTAAAGAAGGGGAATAAAGTATATCTCCTTATAAAGAATTTATATATAAGAAGACTAATAAAGAAACTAGATAAAGTTAAAGTTAGACTATTTTTTATTTTAGAGAAAATTAGCCTAGTTAACTATTAACTTAAGCTACTAAAAGATATAAAAATATACCCTATATTCTATATCTCCTTATTAGAACTAGCTAATACTAAAATACTAACCTAGAAAGACTTCTACTACTAAAATAATAGTAATAATAAATAGGAAGTTAAGAAAATAATAAAATATTAAGGAACTAGACTAGATAAAGAATACCTAGTTAAGTAGTTAGGATTCCTAGACTTAGAGAATATATAGGAACTAGTAATAAACCTTACTAACTGCTACTAACTAGTATAGAAGTACTATAGTTAGCTATAGACTCTTCTATAAGGCCTATAGCACTCTAGGTAATTAGTAAAGTATATATGCTAATAGATGCTATAAGATAATTAGCCTCCTCTACTAAACTAAGTTCTCCTAACTTAATTATCTTATTTACTAGGCCTAATGCTTTATACTATGCGCAATCTTTAGCCTATTTTAGAATCTTCTTATTCTATAATAACTATGCAATAATAGTTACTAGTAAAGTCTTATTATTCTCTACCTTCTTATAATACTTCTTATAAGTATAATCTAATAACTCCTAGAATATATTAACATATAGCTTACTAGCTTTAGTATACTTAGTATATTTTATTCTTTTTAAAGTATTAGGCATAATATAGTACTTATAGCATTTAAAGAAATAATAGTTATAGAGAACTTTAGATAGTATGTTAGCTTAATAAATTTTAAGACTAAGATAAAGGTTATAGATATATAAGAATATCTTAACTTACCTATTACTAGATATAGGGATACTTAGCTATATATAATCTTGTTTTTAACTTATATAGTTTAAGGATAAACTAGATAGGAAGGGGAGGTAGTGTTATAATCTTGCAAAGAAGTATAGCATAGTATAATAAGTAACTAACTAGAGTCTATCTAGGTTATAGGGGTATAGCAAGTAGAACTTATAATTATAGTTATATAACTTACTTATTAATAAGCAAGTATATAGACTACTACTTATTAATAAGTATAGTATAACTATACTTATTAATAAGCACCCTTATTACCTCTTATTAGATATTTATTAGTTACTTATTAATAAGCAAAGCTTAGCATTAGTATATAGTAAGTAGAAATATAACTCTTATAGTTTATATTTAACCTAAGTATTAATCTATAATATTAGATCTTAACTTAACCTTTAAGCTAGATAGTCTACTCTATACTACTTATTATTACCTCTTACCCTTAAGATAGATAGATTATATCTATACTCCTTAGTGCAAGACCCCTTTTAGTTTCCCTAATAGTATTTATCTCTAAGAACTAATTAAATAGTGCTTATAAGCTTTGCTTAAAGTATAACCTTAATAAAGTACTTTTAATATGTTTAAAACTTAGCATGCTAATATATTTTCTATATTAATAAGGAAGGCTTTCTACTAGCCTTTAGAGACGTGTTCCTTAATATTTTTATAAAGTTTAATTACTAAAAGGCCTTTAAGGTATTAGGGCTTATTCCTACTAATATATAGATAGTGTTAGATTACTTTAAAGTATAGCTATATACTCTACTAGTAGTACCTCTACTTGAAATGCTATAGTAATCTAAGATACTAAGTAATATATATAAGTTTAGGTTTTAATCTAAGCTTATAAGTAACTTCTTCTAATAATTACTAAGTATAGTATAAGAAAGGTTCTTAAAGCTTATAAAAGAAGCTAAAGAGATACTATATAAAAACGTCTTTATTAAGGCTTATATATAAGAGCTTAAAGAGTAATTAGTAGTAATTACTAAGAGAAAATTATATAAGAGAAAATAAGTTTAGTATAGTAGTATACTTAAGTATAGCCTAGTAGTATTATAGGTAGCTACTAAGGCATTTATAGTAGCTTAGCTATCTAAGAAGACTTAAGGTAGAGGTAGTTAAAAAGGAGCTTAACTAACTATTTAGTACTATAGAAACTATAGTAAGACTAGATATAACGCACAAATATGCTAGGAGGGTATAGAAATATTTTCTAAATCTAATATAAGCATATAGTATACTAGGTTACTATTTAATAGCAAGTAGTTATAGTTATAGTAATATATATTAGGCATGCTAAGAGAAAATAGCTAGTTTAGTAATATAGCTAGCTTAGTAATAATCTACGTTACTACTAGTATACTTAGTAAAATTTATCTTAAAATCTAAATATAGAAATTTTTTCTTTTTTAAAATTAGAATATAGAATTTAACCTAGAGTAAATTAAGCTCTAGGCTAGTAAACTACTATATATATATAATTTAGTATCTATTATTTTAAAATTTTAACATTTTAGAATATTTTTTTTTACTTATTTTATAGTCTTAGTATAGATAACTTTAACTTATAAGAGCTTAAATTTATATTTATTTAATAATAAAGTATTTATTTTTAAAAATTAAGTAAACTACTAAAAGTAAATAAATAAAAAGTTTAGTACTATAAGCTACTTATTTATAGTATATAAATATACTAAAGTAATATAGTTAAAGTAATGGCGTGGAGTGGTGCGCACCGAGCGAGCTATGGCTAGTGTTGGCGTTGGGGACTGCGGCCGCAGGGCTGGGGCCGAGGTGACGGCGGTTCGACCCGCTTGGCGGCAATAGCGCATCTGAAGTCCATGCACGCGCGTCATTGGTTGCTTGTCCCCATCAGTCTTGCCGTCGCTCCTGCGCAACTGCAAGCTTCGAATCGAGCACGTCGGGAACTGACAGAGATGCATTGAGGATAGCGGCTTGATCTACCCGAGATCCGCTCGAAGCTGATCTTCATCGCTCTCAATATCGCTCTCACCAACGTAAAGATCGCTGCTGTTGCGCTGCGTGGTCTCTCCGTTTCTGCTCTCTGGCCTACTTGACTGGAGCTGATTGACAATGCAGGCTGACAAGGATCGATCGGCTTCCTCTGACATTCTGGAAATTCGATTTACAGTCGATGCTCGTAATTGCTGCTCCTTTTGATCCAGACGTTCTCGTTGCCTCTGTAATTCCAAAAGATCATCTTTCACGTCTTGGTGCAGAACCCCCGCATTATGTTTCGTCTTCGTGACAATATCTTCCAGACAAGCATACACAGCCTCGAGCTTGTACTTGCAGATACCGTCGCGCAATATCTCTGCGAGTCTGAGCGCGGCTTGAATCTATTCTAACAACACATGGTGTTCCAGGTGGAGCCTATGAACCGCGGAGTGCCTGAGCAGCGCTAATCGGGGCTGGATCTCTTTGAATGTTGCGCGCTCCTCTCCATCTATGCATGCTTCAGGTAGAGTATCCATTTGCTCACTCATAATGCGAAGCCACTTTGTCAGGTCCAATGCAGCGGCACAGGTCCAGGAGCGATCCTTGAGAACAGCGGGAAACCAGGCCAGTGTAAAGTTATAACATGACATCTCGAGCATTTGTTGTATCGTCCCCAGAACCTGGTGTTGGGTAGTGTAGGAGAATTTGAAAGATTTCGTGTCCAGTTGAAACGATGCTCTCCGCCCATCTTTGGTCTTATCTACGTTTGTGAGACACGGAGATCCGTCCCATTCCTGGATATTAGCAACATACCAGGTGGTATAGCCGCGAGACTCGAGGTTTGAGCAGCTCCGTTGACCTTCGCAGAGGTTTGAGGTGCTTTGTCAGCCTTCAATGGCGTTTTGCCAAGCTTTTCTTTTCGACAGGATGTTGTCCATAGTTCTGGAAAGTCAATTTTCGCTGCCTCTTCTATCTCAAAAACGCGATCGCAGAGCAACGATCTAAGGATGGGTATTGTCTTGTGCCTCAGATCCTCTGCATCTGAGGGCATTGGTGACGCTTGGACGATACGAAGTATAGCCTTCTTCGATCGCACACGAGCATTCTTTCCAGTGAACAGCGTCCGATAGGCTAGATACACGCGTCGCCGTTCTACTTTGTCCGGTGTCATCGATCAGGAGTAGTAGCGACTAGTTCGGGACTGTGTGAGTAGGTTCTGAGAGTGCGGGTTTCTCGATCATGCTTCGCGAACAGGCTGCCGTTCTCGCGCCCAGTCGCCTCACGCGAGCGCGCTTGCTGCGCGGGCCGGAAAAGGCGCTAGCACCGGCCACAAAACACTCCGTTCCCCCGCCCATACCGTGTCCGTGCACCTCACGGGCCGGGTCAGTGAGTGGGCCACCCCACCAACTTTGGCACCACATTGAAATAAGGTTATTGAGCCACACACGATAGCTACTATCATGAGACAATTTGACTGAGTGTTCTATAAGCCTATGCAATCGTATTCTCCCATGCAATCTAGTTATATAGAGTAGCTGTTCGGCCGCTGCGTGTGGTGTGGGTGCGAGGTGCGGCAGGAGGCTCTGCAGCAACAACACTGCTACGTACAGCTACTGCACCACGATTCTGCTTCTTTCTGGGCGCTACGCTTTGTAAAGCCTTACGTTTGCCTTGATTAGGCAATTGAATACTTTTTCCAGCGTCGCGATTGCGTTTTTGAGCTTCTCTGGCTGCCTTGCGAGCGTCAATCTGAGCACGCTCCTCAGCCCGTTGTTGGTCACGCTCTTCCTTCTCCCTCGCTCTCAACTCACGCTTCTGCTGCTGCTGTTTCTCCTTGAGTAGCTTTTGAGTCTGTTGTAGCTCACGCTGGGTAGCCTTTTCAGCTTCCACCTGTTGTTGGTAGGCCTCCATTGCAGCGTCACGTGCGTCAGCCTCGCGCTTTGATGAAGGACTCCACCACTTGGCTCCCCCATGCCGCTCAAGGTCGCGGGCGTATAGTGGCAATACTTTCTTCTTACCCTTCTTCTTCTCCTTGGCTGATAGGGCCTGTTTTACGCCTTGTAACTCATACTGAGCAAGCTCCAATTGGACGTGGAGCTGGTGAATGATCTGTTCAATCGCCCCAACCTCACTACTAGCCTTATCCTTCACTGCACTGCGCAACAACGACTTTGCCTTTAACCAGTTAGGCTCAGTAGGAGCAGCTTGAGGCCCTGTTTGCTCTGGAGGTGTAACAGTAATTGGAGGTGTTGGTGTTTTGAATCGATTTAGTATAACGTTGGCGTTAGGTGGATGAATACCCGTAGCTGCAAAAGCCGTCAATACTAACGATTCAGTGAAATTGTTCACCCAGGCAGGCCAGAATAGGTCAAAAAAGTCGCTCTTCTTTACGGGTACCCATCCCAGCGTCTTGTGGTTGTGTAGATCGAGCTCCTGAGTGTACTTTTGAGATAGAGGCTTGAAGCAGACTACGTCCAACGGCTGCAGCGTGTGGGTCGCATGTGGGGGGAAGATCATAAGCAGAATCTTGTGGCAATCGCAGTAATCGATGAAGGCCTTCGTTACGTGACTGCCGTGGCCGTCAATAATAAGTAATCGCCATCGTCTCCGGGCTTTGCCCTTGGTGTGGCGATCAAACACCTGCTCCAGCCAAGTCAACCCTAAGTCGTTATCTGTCCATCCACTGGGTGACGTAGTGAAGTAGATTTGGTGTTTATCTGGGTTGATTGAGGCCACCCAAGAGGCTTGTACGTCACGGCCAGCAGCCGCGTAGATGATACCTGGGGGAGGTGAGATCCATCGGCACATATAGCAGCCACCAACGTCACCCACTCACGATTTCCATCGTGGAGTGACTGTTTCAACTGCCTCCGGCTGAAAAGTAGCTTATCAAACACTCTCTTGCTCCTTCCTGTCACCCCGATTGCAAAGCCTTTCTCATCCATATGGTACGTGTTTTCAGGCAGTACGTTATACTCCTCTTTCTTGCGGTGCAGGAGATCAAAGTACAGGCTGTACTTTACCCCAGAATCAGCCCTGTGGCGACTAGTCTCCATAGGCGTTGTCCACGCGGTGATGAGATGGTCGTCGTGACGGTGGAGGAACCGAGTAACCCAGCTATCTGAGGGCGGCCACGCACACAGAGGAGTCGCGAAATTGATAATCATCTGCCTTGTAGGCATGAAGTGTCTCTTTGTGAGTCCTCTAATGTACTGTACGAGCTCTGCCTCATTGCGCGGGTGTAGTAGACGTTGGGAGTTGACTGTTTCGTCCCGAGGGGCAGCTTGGCCCTGGTGTTGGCGCATCAAAGTTGTTCGAGAACAACCATGTCTTTTGGCAAGAGCCCGGTACGAAAGTTGCTCTCCAGGTCTTAAACTATCTATTTCTATAAGGGCTTCCTTCACAGGCATCGTGACGTAGGGGGAGGGGGGGTGTAAAGCAACGTCCAAAGTTGGTGGGGTGGCCCACTCACTGACCCGGCCCGTGAGGTGCACGGACACGGTACAGTACTAAGACTAAAGTCTGGTCGCATGAGCACGGGCCTCACCCCAACAACGCGATCGCGTCAGCGTCGACTTAACTTCCCACCCCATCTACACACCCAATATGAGAGCTTTTGGCTCTGAGATTTCTGCCGATCGATTGCCTGGTGGTGAATTATCTCAGCGCCAACGCGACTACGCTATTGCTGCTCTAGAGAATGGTGCGCAGACCAAGGAAGTTGCTAAGACTCTCCGCTGCTCGCGTCGGACAATCCAGAGAACCATCTCTCGTTACAACGAGCTCAAGACCAACGCCAGCAGGCCTCGCAGTGGTCGCCCAGCTAGTCTAACGCGTCGCCAGCGTCGTCTCCTCATTCGCATCACCAGAAGATATCCGAAAATCCAATACCGTGCACTGCTAGAGGAGGCAGGACGGTGGGACACCAACTCTACCCACCCCCAGGTCTCTAAGAAGACAGTATACCGAGCGCTCTACGCAATAGATCTACGCAACTTCAGATTAAAGCGGAGACCTAAGATCAATCGGGCCACAGCCCTACTAAGGCTCAGATTCGCACGAGACTACTCATATCTTGACTGGAAGCGGGTAGTAGTAAAGTTCAGCGATGAGTGCAGCGTTGCGAGAGGCTCTGGAGCCAACCAGGAGTGGAGTTTCCAGTATCCAGGTGAGAAATACGACCACAATAAGGTTACAGAGAAGGTTCTTCACGTGCCAAGCAGCAGATGGTATGGGCAAGCATATGGGTGACTAGGGGGGGGGGGGGGGGGGGGGGTAGGGTTGGGCGGAGTCCGCTGGTGGTCATGGAACGGGATCCTACCTCTCAACGCAGAGGTTATAGTGCTGAATCATATATCTCAACTCTTGAGAATGGACTACAGCCTCACTATAAACCTGGGGAGAGATTCATGCAGGACAACGCACCTGTTCACAAGGCTAAAAAGACAACAACGTGGTTAGAGACTCATGGCGTGTGGACTATTGATTTCCCACCTTACTCGCCTGATCTCAACCCTATTGAGCACCTGTGGTGGGCTCTTAAACGGAAACTCCATAAGCTTCACCCTGAGTTTGATACCCTGGGGGATACTCAAGAGGAGTGGGATCGCTTTTGTGAGGGGTTGAAGGAGGCGTGGTGGGCTATACCTGATACCGTGATCAGAAGGCTTATTTACTCAATGCCGCGACGAATTAGCGCCGATATGCGTGCACAGGGGTACCAAACTAAATACTGAGACTAAGCGCAATCCAAAGCTTTAATAGGATTCAATTTTCACCGTGTACAGTCGCTTACAGTTGCAGTTTCCGCTTTCTGTGAGCAAACTTTCTTTCACCCACGCTAGCCTTGTCTCGCTTAAAGTCAGTCTTTTCCATTCGAAGCTAGGCTTCCCTGCCGGCGACAGTGTAAAAGCTCCCTGCACCAATAGGCGAGATGTCTGACTAGCCACTAAGATAATGAGGACAAGTGCCCGGTAAGCGAGGCAGGCAGCAGCGTGGGATAAGAAACCGGGCGACTTGCAACAAGCGGAAACTGCAACTGCAAGCGACTGTAGTTGTTGAGATAAAGCGTTGTGAACATTCACTCAAAAGTGGTGGTGGTGGCCCGAGCGCGCCGGTGCGACAAGACTTTTGTCCACTGACTGTAATTAGTTTGGTGATCGACTAGAACAAGAAAGGCTCATGTAGCACATACGCTTACGCATACGATTTGACCGTGACAGAGGACACCACGCGTAAGCAGCTTAGTGTCATCCTCTTCAGGGGGGGCCACATGTCGACCGTTCGGTACCACGCGCTGGGACGCAGCGCGACGCGACATGACATTCGCGACACCAAACCGGGGACATGACCCGCGATATGGCCAACAGTTCATAGTCATGAGATACGCCCAGTTAAAGCCGCTAATGCTTTGCACTTCTTGCCGCATGGAGGCTGTGCGTTGACCTAAATCTAGGTGTTTCAACGCCTCTAAATTGAGGCTGGCGAGATGTCGTGCCTTCCGTAGATGCGCACTGGGGTCGCTGTGCCACTCGGACGTTGTGCTTCGTGAGGCAGACAAATGCGTAGTATTACGGTGCGGCTATTCAAGTGGAAATCGATGTTGTGGATAATCAGGGTAGGGATGTCGCGGGATGTTTGCCGCTGAGGGCCCGCTAATTTCTGGCCTTGGCCAAGCATGGTAGGGTGGTAGCGGCATGGCCCACGCCTACAGTAACTTTCCCCGCACTTTAGCTAGGCTTAAGGACTCGGTCCTCTATTGCGCTCAATCAGCAACAGCACCTCGCGCAGGGAAGTGCTAAGGTTGGAAGCATGCTCGTTATTAGGATTGGCTAAGTCTATTGTTGAGGCCACAGTGTCGCCATAATGCCTCAGCAGCAGTAGACACTGCTGAATGCTAGCTAATCGACAGACATCGCTATTGGATATTTTGCGCGCTTTAAATTACGCTAATTGTAACAATTAAAATCCTTGCTCTTGTAGTTAATAATGCGCGCGCGCATTTTGTGCATAGGCCCGCGTTAGTGTTGCTGAGTTAACTAAAGCGCCTAAGTTCTAAACGCCTTGTTAGTTGCGTGCAAATAATCTACTATTAAACAACTCTATAATGCAGCACAGCATATAACAATGTTGAATTCGCAAACTGATATAGCGCAGTATTATTGCGTTATGCCGCCGCCTAATTATACGCACTAGCTTTTAATGCCTCTATTAACTAATAAGAAATCTACTGCAGGACTGCTTTGCGTTATAGCGCTTTTTAGACAGATCTAAGCAGGAATACATATAAATTGCAGTCTATAGATAGAATTTTAACTTATATAAGGCGATTTTAATTAAATCTAGGATACACTCTATTAAGACAAGGTGCTCTAGGGTTTTATAGATAATAAAATATAGTTAGTAAACCCTGCAGTTTAGGAGATTATAGCTAATAGTAAGTTCTAGCAGGTATAACTATAATAAAGACAAGCGCAGACTAGTTGTTTGCATGCCTACTGCAATATATAAGCTGTTTATTAACAAGCTAGAGGATAATATTCGCTCCTAGTTAAAAGGGATCTATAGTAGATCTAACAGAAACGCTTAATTTGCGCAGAAGGTGCAGCTAGCCTAGTTAACTAAATTATAGTTCTCTGCTAGCGCCTCCTCTAGCAAATTAAAGTATAAGCTAGATGCGTTGTTTATATATAACAATGCAGAATATCTAGGCGTTATTATTAAGGTCGCATACTTATAAAAGAAGAAGCGTCTAGGCTAGTTAGCTAAGAATTATCTTTTAGACTTAGACGCTAGCATATAGGTTGTTGTTAGTCTAGATATTAACTATAGCAAGGAGTTATGCAAGGCGGCTTTGTTAGTCTAGCGACCTAGACTGTTTATAAAACTGCTAACGGGCCTAAATTGCAAGCTGTTAAAGAGGTTGCAGATAAGGTAAATAATATCTTAAAAACTTTAAGGCATTTTATATCCTAACTCTCTTACCTACTAGATTTTTTATAATAATAAAAGAAACCCTATTAAATCCCTTAGCCTATAGCTCTGCCTTAGCAATTTTACCTATAAAGAACTTATGCAAGAGAAATTAGGAAGCAACAACACAGAGATATAGATTACTAGGAAATAGCTTTGCTAATATCTTGCTATTATAGAGAGTAGAGCTTAATAGGCACTATATAAGTATTTATTTGCTAGAGTAGTTATAAAAAGGAAATAGTTAGAAACACCTTCTAAAAGGATAAGATTAGGCGATAAGGTAAAGTATGCAGAGCAGGAAGGGAGAGCAGTAAAATGCATTGCAGATAATAACGTTAATTATAAGGATTTACTATTATTTAACAGCCTTTTAAAATAATTAGATAAAAGAGTAAGGGGAAGAAATTAGACTCTTAGCTAGGTTAGAGTCCTGTTAATCTTCTCTGCATATATAGCTAAACCGTTAATCTATATTACGTCGAATTCTAGCCTTATCTTATAATAACTAAACCTTTAGTTGTCTTGCTTCTGCCTTTGTAACGATGTATAGTACATAAGAGCGTTACAGAGGTCTAGCGCGTTCGGTTTAGCAGGTTCAGTCTAATGTTAGCGGATAGGAAGCGTGGCGGCCTTTTATATATTAAATAGACACAAGGATTATAACGTGAGAGCAACGCGTTAGCGTGAAAGCACGAACTTTAATCATCCTGCAATGCGCTACAGCGGTAATAGTTAATCTAACCGCCGCCGTCCTTATACCAACAGTTAACTTAGCGCATTATATCCTATAGGCAGGGCTGGTTTAAAGCTAAAATGCGACATCAGGCAACATTTGCGTAAGGTTAAGAAGCTTAGCATTTATCTTAGCGCTTAGCTTATAACATTAACGCATTCTAGAGCAGCTATCTTTTAACCCTAGTTATTCTAGCAATAGCTATTATACTGCATTATTTTGCGGTGCTAAATTATGCTATAATAGTAAATATGCGAAGATTAAGAATAGAGGCCTCTCTACTGCAATATATAATTAGTACGGCTTATGCAAAAACTTAGCGCATTTAGTCTGCTGCTGCCACCCTTAATAGAGGATATAGAGCTCTATATTATTACCTACTAGCTATAGGTAGTTATTTAAATTATCTGTCTAGTAGATCTTTATTCTAGCGTTTCTTTAGATATTAAGAGTGTTAAACAGTCTTCTAAACATTTAGAACTCTATACTAGAGGCCTTTAATATTAAGTAGCGATTATAAACACCTAGGGATAGAGTATTCTCTATATAAACTATTTTATAGGTTGTCTTTAAGGAGACTGCAAAGGTGCTCTTAAGATAGGGGCTTTCTATAGGAAAGTTTAACATTGCAGAGATTTAATCTATTAGCATTATAGGGCGCTAGACTATATAGAGCTGTTATTTCTTAGGTGCTTACTATTATAGGTGCAAGACATAATTAAAAAGAGTATAGCTACTGCTGCTATATTATCTAGAGGATGCGCTTTAATATAGCTGCGCTAAGCCTAGATAGGCAATAACAAAGATCTGCTTTGTTGCTAGCGCGAATTAGGGGGCAAGTCACCCCTAAAGTTGCGGACTAGTCTAAATTAGGGACGACTTAAACCCTAATCGTGGTAGTTGCATAGAGGTAGAGCCTCTCTTATTACCTTATAGCAGATAGGGCCTACTACCTACCCTTTAACTTAAGTACTCTAGTTATTTAGAGCACTCTAGTTGTTTAGAGTACCTTAGCTATATAGAGTACTTCTATAGTTTTATTTTACTATAGTTACTAGCCTAGCATTTCTAACTATCTAACTTATTATCTATTTAGTTATTTAGTAGTAGTAAAAGATACTAGGTTCTTATAATTAGTAACGTAGGTGTATAGCGAGCGGGCTAGTACACTAAGCGGGCTACTTTTGCTAAGACTATACTAAAACCCAACCTATTATAGCCTAAAATACTATAAATTAGCGCTATATAAGGGAAAACAAGCTATAGTATTACTTAGGAACCTTATCTGCTCTATTCTTGCACGTTTGCGCGTTGTGCCTACCCTCTCTACACTGTCTACAGCGTTGTTAGGATAGTTTACCTCCTTTAGCGCGCACCTGCTTCTTTACCCTCTTACTATTACTATGCGCCCTAAACTCCTGCAAAGCAGTTAACTGCTGGCCTTCTTTAACTGCAAGGCTTCCCTTAGCGTGAATATGCCTTCTTTTATATAATTTTTATTATATAGCAGCCTTATTAGCTGCTTAAAGCTTGCTAATTTCCTG